CCTGAGACAGCCCATCCCCACGCTCAAATCTTGCTGAAGCCTTGCTGCAGTGGCAGGCAGAAGCTGCAACAACGAGTGCTAGTCTCTAAATTGGAGTTTAATTGCTCTCAGCTGGTTCGGATGTCTAGAATCTCACAGGGATTATGTAGAAAGCCAAAAAAACTTGTGTACCAGGAGCACTTCCAATACATTATCCATGTACTGTTTCCATGCAGACAAAGCCTAACAGCACAGCAGCATTTCCCATACTTGCATAGCCATGAAAGTCTCCTGGGTTGCTTGGTGAGTTTGCTGGGGTCAGAGTCCTCACAGTGAAAGAAGATAAAATAAGGAGAAAAGGAATGGGTAATGACACAAGGATGGGAAAGGGGTGTCTCAAAGCTCACGTTACAGGCAGGAAGTGGCCCTGCCTCATGTGAGGAGCAAGGAGAGAAGCTCTGCTGTGAAGAAGGGACCTGTACCTGTGACATTGCTAGAAGAAGTGCAGGTGCTGGTTGCCTCCTGAAGGCAGGCAGTAACAGGCCATGCAAGAGCAGGAATTCTTATGTTCTCCTCCCTGTTCCAGGTGCTGCGGGACAGGGTGGTGCCAGAGGTTCCTACCTTGGCAAAAGGGAGTTTCACATCAGGTTAGGCAAGTATCGAGCAAGTTCTTAGGATCATGATTCTCTGTTGGCTCTGGAGAAACTTTCCCATGCAAAAAAACTCCTCTGATTTGCTAGTCCCAGTACCTTCCAGATCCTCCCATTTCTCTTACCGCATCACATGGCTGAATGCCAGGAACATCACAGCTAGGATGATCACAAGTCCCTTGTATTAAAGATATCCACTCATGATTAACACCTTTGGCCTGTGCTGAGGGCCATTTGCTGTCTTCCTGCAGTGTAAAGGGGAGAAAGTGATATGCTTTGGTATGTGTGGCTTTAGAAAGAAAAACAGAAAGGACCAGCTAATACGTTGATCCTAGGAGAAGAAAAAAAAAAAAGCATGTTAAAGAAATGTTAAAGAATATTTCAAACTAGGGGACACCAGGTTCCTACAGCCTCCGTGCCCTAGAAGTCAGGTAGGTGACAGCAGTCGAACCAGAGATCACAAAGCAGTACAGGAAAGCAGCGCACAGGCACAGAGGAGCATACACAGACTGTCTCCAGGTTACTGATTTCAAATACATGAAATTGACCTAAAGGACCTGAAGAGGTAATTTCCTGCAGACACAGGCAGGCTAGCCTGCCTATTAATGTGACCCTTTTCCTCACTGCCACATGCTCCCAAAAGTTCAGGGAGATTTTGCCCAGCTCTCAGCCTCCTCCCCCCGTCTGTGCTCAAGGATGCCTAGAGCCTGGGTGGTGACATGAAGTTGCCTCCCGTGGCCACGTAGCCCTCACCAGGCCTGGGGAACATGGGCATCCTGAGCCTCTCCCTGGGCCTTGTCCAGAACAGTTGATGCTCTGCAGGTTGCTGCTTGCATCATCCAACCAGAGGTTGCCACAGTAACCACACTTACGTGTGGAAGAATACAAGGTTCCCTGGCTAACAGTAAGTCTGCTCCTGGTCAGGGTGTTGTCTTTATTGCACAGCTGGAAAGAACTGTACAGTTTTCTGCAGGTGAGAAAATAAATACCTTTCTCTACATTACACTAAGTCAGGCTTCCCACCCACTCCCTCTCTCGTACTTCCACGCTTTTGCTCTTCTCAGCCCTGTTCTCTCTGGCAATTGCACTGCTTTGGTTAAACAGCAAACCTAAGAAAGAAAAAGTGCCCAGTACTAACAGATCAGTCTATCTGGGCCTGATGGATCTCTGATTGCTGCTCCCACCCTCATTCAATTTTGGGATGGAGCAGCCGCCCGCTGGCTGGAGGTAGCGCTTAACCCTCCCATTGCATTGCTGGGGAGAGGAGGCACTTTCTGGGCCCCAGCAGTGGCCTCAGCTGCATAAAGAATCACGAGAAAGCCGAAGTCGAGGGAGCAGCCAAGCACAGCCTGTTGGGCTGTTAGGATTCAATCAGCCGTTAGAAGCAGTGTACTCTTGGGAGCCGCCCGCTGGCGGGAGGTAGCGCTTGACCGTCCCATTGCATTGCTGGGGAGAGGAGGCACTTTCTGGGCCCCAACAGTGGCGTCAGCTGCATAAAGAACCATGAGAAAGCCAAAGTCGAGGGAGCAGCCAAGCACAGGCTGTTGGGCTGTTATGATCCAATCAGCTGCTAGAAGCTGTGTACTCTTGGATGCCAGATCACCCCCTGCTACCTCCAGTCTGCTGGTTGTGACAGCTTGAAAGGAGAGAAGGAATGAGGCAGAGGAGCACAAGAAGTTTTCACCCTCGGAGCCTTGGAAAAAAAAGGGGGAATTTATTTATGTATCTATGATTTGGAGTCCTGTCTCCTAACTTATCTTGAAAAATGCCATTATGTTGCATCTAGTTCTACCACAGACCTAATCCAGTAATAACTTACATGTAAGGCCAGCTGTCCATTAAAACAATTTATCTACTAAAGTGGAAAATGAAATGCTTGGTTATCAGGAAACAACCATTAAAGAGGTCGGACAGACTAAAGGACAGACTTTGATCCCTTCTGGGGCAGGAGACAAAGGACATTTGTGGGATTTCAGCCATTTTTCTTACCCAAAACATATTTTCTCCTTCCATCTCAGATCGCAGCAAAGCTAAGGAAGAGGACACAGAACAAGGCAAACAATGACTGCCAGTCCAGCAAAGGTCACCTCCAAGGATGTGGCAAGACCCAATTCCCCTTCACTCATGGCTTAGTATAGGTGAAAAGGGTTACAGCAGCCTCACGGGAGCAGCTCTTTGCCCTCCCCCAGCCAGGTCAAGGCTAAGGAGACACCTCGTCCCTCCACAGTCCCGCATGTTCAAGAGCTGGGTACCAGTGCATGTGGCTGTAGGGATGCAAGAGGCTGTCTGAGCAGCAGCAGGCAGACCTCATGTGCTTAGTGACAGAAATCGTGTCCTGGTGAGCAAAGGACATTTGTGGGATTTCAGCCATTTTTCTTACCCAAAACATATTTTCTCCTTCCATCTCAGATCGCAGCAAAGCTAAGGAAGAGGACACAGAACAAGGCAAACAATGACTGCCAGTCCAGCAAAGGTCACCTCCAAGGATGTGGCAAGACCCAACTCCCCTTCACTCATGGCTTAGTATAGGTGAAAAGGGTTACAGCAGCCTCACAGGAGCAGCTCTTTGCCCTCCCCCAACCAGCTCAAGGCTAAGGAGACACCTCGTCCCTTCACAGTCCTGCATGTACAAGAGCTGGGTACCAGTGCATGTGGCTGTAGGGATGCAAGAGGCTGTCTGAGCAGCAGCAGGCAGACCTCATGTGCTTAGTGACAGAAATCGTGTCCTGGTGAGGAGTCAGTCTTGCTGGAAAGCAAAAAGAACTGGGCAAAGTTTGCATAGCTCACTTCTCTAATTCACCCGTCCAGACACCATTCAGCTCTTTGGCCTATGTCATAGCCACATGGGCCACTTCCACCCTAGTTTCAAGCTGTGTATTTTGAGAGCAGCCCTCAGTAAGAGGCAGCAGGAAACAATAGTATAAGAAGGCAAAACACTGTCCACAAGATGCTGTCCATCCACTCTTCTGCCTACCTAGCACAGCCTTCTGAGTAAAAGCCCTTCCACGACCTGCTCAGTCAAATGGAGTTTCTAGGGGCTCAAAGATGCCCAGGTCATTCCCACCTTGATGGGTCCAGTGTAACATAGATGACAAGCAGGGGAAAAAAAAAAAAAAAAAAGAGGCC